CCCTCACTGCTTCCCTCCCTCCCTCCTTGTCTCCTCTCTCTCTCTCTCTCGGATCAATTTAAAAGTCCACATAGCACGAATGTCCCATAATCTGAAGGTACCCGGCCCCTCCCGCACAGCCCCTCCCGGGGGAACGTGGGCAGAAGAGGGCCACATGTCTCGGGCCACGCTGCATCAGTGGGGAGCCCGGCCCGGCTGGTGCGGGGGGGGTCGGCCTCCCAGCCTGCAGTGCCCTGGCAGCTCTGTGTTCCTCTCCCCCAGGGAGCGTCCAGGCCTGGAGGAGCACTGCTGTGCCCAGGAAGTTTCTAATTAAATGCTGCTGGTTAAAAACAAAGTGTGATACCTTCTTAAGTTTAATTCACAAAAAGCCTTTCTTTGACTTATTGCTTATTTATTTTTGATTTCTATTACAAAGATATAGCAGAAAACCCTGCCCACTAAACTTTTCGATGAACGTGTGCCATGGTGTGCAGTACTAATACGGTTGTTCCCGTACTGAAACTTCCACAGAGGAAGTATTTTGAAGGATAGAAGTTCAAAGAGAATATGCTGATCAGGCCAGAAAGAAATTACATTTCTCAACATGGATACATATATGAACTATTTAACTTTCAGGAGTCTATTTTTATTCAAATGAATTGAAATTGCTTGTCATATACAGTAAGAAAATTGCTAGTAAGGATCCTGATAGTTGAACTGTTTTGCATTTCATACAAAGAGTAGTAGTAGTAGTAGTAATGAAAAAGTAAATCCAGGGCGTACTATATGTTCTGGACACATTTAATATCATTTATCTTAATCCTCATGGAGGCTTATAAGGGACCTAGATTATTCTCAAAAAAACAACAAAAGCAGTGCTCCATGGTCAGCAAGTTTGGCAAACAAAGTGTTGAACAAAACTAACATATTTAAGGTGAATTTCAGAATTTTTTTAACATCAATTTCCTTAAATAACACACCAAACAAGTACTAGTCGATTGAGACCATGGTTAGTGTCACACGTTGGCACTTGGCAGCGGGGCGGTGCATAGGCCACCTTGGGTGCCTGTGCCAGTGGTCTGTGCATTAGTCATTTGTGTTCACATACGTCACACACGTTTTCTTCACCTCTGTGCCCTCTGTTTTCACTCTGATGTAGTACATGCTACAGACATACGTACACCGCTCCCCCACACCCCCCGTACACTCCGACTCCAGAGCACTCAGCGCGCGGCCTGGGCGCCTCACTCTCTCTGTGCGGGTCGGTTCCTTCGTCAGTAGTCGGGGGACACCCGTGCACACCGACGCTCGCGCCTCCTGCTGTGTCTCCGTGAGAGCAGTTCGCTGTTGGCTCCGGCCTCTCCAGTTCGGCAGCTGACTCGAGGCGGTAGCCGCACCAGTGCAGGACCGCAGTCTCGAGGCTGGTGGCGTGGTGGCTGGGGGGTCGCTGTGGTTTTGGGAGCACGCGCAGCAGGGGTGCCCTCGGCGCGGCGGCTGCTCCCGCCGCGGAGGTCCCTGCGCCGGGCTGGCGCCTGCACAGTCCTGCCGGCGGACTCACGGGCATGGCCTCTTCGGCGCGCTCCACAGACACACGCTCCGTACCCACTGCAGGCGAGGCCCTCGCCCGGCGAGAGGTCGCAGCCCGCACGCAGCTCAGAGGATGGTGAGCATGTTTCAGCACTACAGTATTTTTTATTCGATGTATGTGCACCTGTTGTGTTAGCGGTAACACCGTTGCACTTAATTGGCTACAGTGTAGTATAGACATAGCTGTGCTATGCATTGGGAAACCAGGGATTTTGGAACTCGCTTTATTGCAACATTGGCTTCAGTGCGGTGCTCTGGAAATGAACCACAGTGTCTCTGAGGGACGCCTGTGAGGGAGAGTCCTGAATTAGCTTCAAATAATTAACACGTCGATGAAGATGCCACTTGGAGCCAGTTGGGGGAAGGTGGTAACTGTCAGCAAAGCATCGGGCCAGCCGTCGGGATCACACTTTATACCTGCGCTCAGGGATGACGTGGAAATGGGTGGGACTTGGAATGAAACACGGGCAACTATACAAGCGCTAGACCCAACTCTGGGGCATGCACTTTATAACCTCTGAGTACAGAAGCCAGAAAAAAAGGTGAACAAAATACAAAAAGAAACAAAAAACAAAAACCCTGCTTTCCAGGAGATAGTATAAGCAAAGGCAAAAGAAAAAAACTAAGGAAAAAAATGTGCGACTCTGTCCTAGACGGAGTCCGTCCCCTTAACGCGTAAGAGAACCATTGGCGAGCCTGTGGGAGATGGTGTGCAGGGGCAGACGGTGCACGGAGGGCGCCTGAAGCAGCGCTCGTTCCTTCCTGAGAAACGCAGGCCGAAACGTGTGAAAGTTAAGAGTCAAACCCCAGGGAGCTGCCATGCTGCACCCACCACTGTGGCAAAAATTCGGGAGTTGGGGCGCCGGCCGCGTTGGCGGGGACGCGCGGGACAGGCCCTCTCCAGTGCTGGGGGTGGGGTGTGAATTGCTACAACCTGCTGGCGGGCAGTTAGGCAGAACTTATCAAAAGTACAAAGGCGTGTGCCCGCTTACGGCTGAAGTGCTTCCACCTGGCATGCCAAGACACAGAAAACATGGCACACGCTTCTTCCCCGCAACCTTGCTCACACTCACAGGTGATCAGAGGCAACCTGAATGCCCATCGGTAGCGGGTCGGTAAAACAGCGGGCCGCGTCCTTGCTGGGAAGCGCGGCCCGGCTGCTGAACAGGAGACAGAGGCGGCAGAGGGCGGGGGGAGGCGCCCGGCTGCGCTGTGTCTGATTCGGAAAGACCCCCGCGGCGTGTGGTCAGGTGGGAAACGCGAGGTGCGGCGTGGCATGCTACCAGGCTTAGGCACAAAGTGGGGAGAAAAGAACTTGCAGCTTGTGTGTGGCTTGAAAAGGCTGATTTTACTTGTCCCAAAGATTGGTAAGAAGCTATGCATGGCACCTCCCTGGCCTCGTGTGGCCACCTGGGCAGCACAGGCAGTGGGGGGCGGGGCTGACTGTCCATTGCTGGGCTTGGCTGTTTAAAATACATGGACGCATGTTTGCTCAACAATGCCCGTGGTGCTTTTTAAAAATAACCAAGATAAGATGCTTCAAAGAGGAAAACAATAGTGGAATTATTTTAAGCTCCCTTTTCCTTAGGTGAAACACTTAATTTATATTTTTTGTATTAACAGGCAGTGCGTGCATGGCCCTGACAAGTATTTTTATGGAGTCAAGAAGTATTTGTGGTTTTGTGTTTATTATTTTGAAATATATTGCTTTTGAACTGAATAAAATATTTCTTTTTACATACTTTCTAAAGAAGCTCTGAAATTAGCTCTCATCTTGAGTTCTTTTCTTAATTTCCCCACCTGTGCTGGGTGGGTAGGTAGGTAGGTAGATGATGGATAGGTAGGGAGAAAAAGAGGGAAAGAGAGAGAGAAGCTGCCTCAAGATTTTCAACAAGTTCTATTCCGAATTCAGGTTGAAATCTCCCCATAACTTAGAGTGTCTTGTGTGCAGACACAGGGCACGCAGCCCGCGGTCCCACCTGGCACCTGCACCGTGGGGCCGGGGCATCCGCCTTCCTGTGGGCAGTGCCGCGTCCTGGCGAGGGCGCCAGGCTCTGCCCCATTCCTCGTCCCGCACTGTCCTGACCTCTGGTGCTTCGGTCTGCGTTTTGAAATTGGAAAGAGCAATGCCTCCAACTTAGACATGTTGTATGATCGTTTTAACTATTTCAGGTCCCGTGCATGTCTCTGTGGACCTCAGGGTCAGTGTTTCAATTTCTGTAAAACAAATCCAGGAGGGGCTCTGGCAGGGATTATGTAGAATCTGTGTATCAGTGTGGGCAGTACTGGCACGTTAGGAGGACTGAGTCTTCTGCTCGATGCACATGGGGCAAAGCCCATGTCCCGCAGGAGACATGGTCAGCTGCCCGCTCGTCCCCGGTGTGTGCCCGCTGGGCCCGGCTGTGCTGTGGCCCGGCTGTGCTGTTGCCCGGGGGTCTCTTGTGGAGAGGACCCTGCTTGAACCCCCTCTCGATCCCTTGCCCCCTCGCGCCATGTTCTCGGTGAGCCCACTTCTGCTGGGCCGTTCAGTCGCCGGTCGGAGATTCTGTTTTAAAGAGTCATTTTCAAGCTGAATATTGTTCAGAACTCGTCAGTGGAAGGAGCCCAGACTGCTCATGGTTCACTGGCTCGTGTGAGATCGCCACGTGCCTCACTGTGTTACGTGGTGTCTTCAAGGGCGGGGCCATTTGCCTCTGCTGTGTAGGGGTGCTGCTTTAAGTGGTCCTGGCCTAACACGCAGCAGCTCTTCCTTTTTCGGCTTGACTGGGAATAGTTTGATTTTTGTAGGTGAGAACAGGTCCTTTTCGTCCCAATATTTTAAACAGTTTTCTGTCCCACGGCATCAGATGTGGAAGAATGGATTTTGAGAGCATAGAAAGGCACTGTTGTCCACGAAATGTATGGAATGCACATTTCTTGTTGCAGACAAACGTGGCCCATGTTTCTCCTTGTTTGTATATGTTTAATGTTTCTTTTATATGTGTGTAAAACAGTTATAAGAACATAAACACATATGCACTATACTTAAATATATATGCAGTATATGCATAGCATAAGTCAAGACGTATGTGTATGCATGTGTGAGTGTATATATAAATATATATATATGAAATGGCAAGTTCTACACCACTTTTTCTTGTGTTAGTCTGTGTTTTTAAACTTTTGAAATCCTCCCTGCTCCCTTTACTTGCTTCAGTCATAGGCCCTTGATTGTTAGATTTCACTTGCCACGTAGGAGCTGAGAGATGCCCATTTATTTTTGTCCAGGACACATCCGCCTCAGGAACAAAATACTCTGTTTTCAAAGTCATCTCCTCTTTTTTCCCGGCGCCGCGTGGCTCACACTGTCCCCGCACAGCCTCAGCGGGGCTGCAGCCGGGGGCTGACGTTGCGGATTTGACCTCAGTCCTTGCCTTTTCTGTCGTACTTGGTAGGTCCAACTGTGCCGAAAACATCCGCAAACACATTTTACACACCGGCAAACACGAGGGCGTCAAGATGTACAACTGCCCCAAGTGTGACTACGGCACCAACGTCCCTGTGGAGTTCCGGAACCACTTGAAAGAGCAGCATCCTGACATCGAAAACCCCGACCTGGCTTACCTGCATGCAGGTAAGGCTCTAAAACTCTGCTAGTGTGTGCGGTTTTGAAGAGCACTTCCGTTGATTCCTCACACTGCATTAGTGTCACTTATTTTAATGTTGTGGAGCCTGTGACAGGCACCTGCTCCCAGGCTTACAAAAGAGAACATTCCGCTCTCATCCCCGTCAGCTGGGAAACAGTCTTCTCAGTTACATTGTATCAAGGGCCAATTTGACAGAATCACCATCCCACCACAACAAAGTTAGTAGCAAATATTTAAAACAGTTGAACTGAAATTATAGTTGTGCTTCATATTTTGGCTATATTGATAGAATTTTAAATTTATTTTCACAAAATGTCTGTGATGGAAAATGTTGTGCCCGAACCTTGTGCCACAGCTTCCCAGTGATCACCTGGAAAGGAGGCGCCTGCGACCGAGGAGAGAGGAGGACCATGTGGAGGGGGGCGTAGTGCCGCTCGCTCCCCAGAAACTCGGGGGCCCTGACCCCGGGCCCAGGGACACGTGGGTGACGTGACGGCAGGGGCTGCTTCTCTGTCCCCACCTCGTGGCGTCAGGCCAGACCGTCTGGGCGGCCACCATGGCTAAGCAGGTCCGCTGTGGCCGCCCGTCGCGACCTGAGGGATCCGTGCGCTTTGAGTGTTGATGTCTTACTGCGCAGGCCGCGCAGCCGCGGGTCCGGGCGTGGGCTCCTCCTCCGGGAAGCCCTCGCCGCGGGAAGCTGTGTTCCTGTGATGCCCGCTGGTGCGGGGCGCCCCCAGCGGGGATTGGGGATCGGCGAGAGCGACGTTTGGTGTCCTTCACCGCTGGCCGAGCGGCCGCTGCCTCACGCCTCCGGTTTCCCGCAGATGCACGCCCTGGTGCCTGGGCAAGGGCCGCTGGGGGAGTTTAAGCAGCTCACGGCTGTGAAGATCCCCGCACCGCACCCTCTGTGCCCGGCAGCCCGGCAAGGCTGGGGCGCGGCCGTGCGGTGGCGCTGCAGGCGCGACACCAGCGTGCGAAGGTCGTGGGCAACCCCACACAAAACGCAGCTCTTTGTTCGCAGAGTATGTAAACACTGGTCATGTAACGTCTGCAGTGAAGGAACAGGACTTGGTGGTGGTTTGAGTTAGAATGACATTCTGTACCTCTGACAACCTCTGAGTGGAGGTTATTGTTTGCTTTCTGCTGACGTGTCACTTCCAGTGCCTTTGATGATGCCAGCTTTTTAAAGTGATGGCAGAGTGTTGGACTGAGTAACCTCTGTTGTATCCGGGCTGCTTTTGAAGACCAAAAGCAGGTGAGGTCTCTGCACTGTGGCGAAGTTGTTACTGACGGGGCTTGAGCTGCTAGCGTGACGTGGGAACGTTCTGAGGCCCCTGGTCCCTGTGGGGCCTGTGTCCACACGGGTGTGTGACACCCAGGTCCCAGGGCTCCTGCGCCCACAGGAGGGACTTCCGCTGGGCCTGGGCACTTGCCTCTGCAGCCTTCTCGTTCCGTTAGCTGGGCTCCCCACGCTCTGAGGTCGGTCACGGGCGCTTTCTTTAAACAAGCTTCCGTGACCCCCCAAATTTCTAAAGAGGTCTGCTTCGGTCACCCTGGCCCTGGTGAGGTGGCACTTGACCGTCCCATGCATGCCCACAAATTGACATCAAATTAAAAGTGGCCAGAAGTCTTTGTTACTGTATGCTGTGGTTTTTATTTTGTGAAATCCGTTTTACCTGAAAAGTGACCTTTATTTGGTCTTTACAGTTTTAGTGATTCACAACTACCATTTCTGTTATCCTGGAATAAGCTCAGTGTTCATTCGAGGCAGAGTTAAGGAACACTTTTCAGTTTGCCATACAAGGGACCTTCAGTTGGCCTCACGTGGGTCTGTCCCGGGATTCCCGACACCTGAGCTGAAGGAAGGGCGGCGAGGGCGGCGACGGTCGAGGGGAGATGGCGGGGACGGCTGGGGGGGGGGAGCGCGCTGAGGTTCTGCCCATCGTGCACCGGTGAGGTTTTCTCAAGAATTCCACGTCACAGACTTCGAGTCGTGCCTCCACAGCTCAGAGACTGGTGGCCGTGAAAATCAGGTGCCTGCTTGGGGCCGTATTGCGGAGAGCTCTGTGTGGGCGGGGCCGCCCTCGGAGAGAGGGACACTGAGCAGGGGTTGGCGGGGAGGGGGTGGCGGAGTCGGGATGGGGCGGCAGCCCAGGTGTTTCAGGGTTTCCTCGGAGCAGCCGAGACTAACAGTGCAGCGAAGGTGGATGTCTTTTCTAACGCGATGATCAAATTTGTTCATTTTTCAGGGGAAATTAGGCATTAAATGATGACATGATATTTTCCCAAATTTCTTTTCTTTTTCTGGTGTCATAGTTTTATTTTTTTTTAGCCATTTAAATTAATATGATTTTCACCATTTCTTCTGTGTTAAGACTCAGTCATTTTAAAACATACTTTAGATTATGACCTGAAAAGTGTTGATAGCAGATGAACCTGTCCTGCTCTCTTCAAAAATTGGGGTTTTCATGTTCTCTAAGATAAACAACTTTTTAATTCATTATAATGTATTATTTAACAGCATTTAACCATCTTCCACAGTATTTTCCTCTTACCCACTTAAAGGATAAAAATGGGAACGTTCGATCTTATCTAAACTCCAAATCCTTTTTCTTTCTAGTGGTAACTAATTCAGTGCCATTTAAACTGTGCGTCCCGGGTCCCTGCATTCTCTCCAGGGGCCTCGCGTCGCGCCAGGCAGGGGCCTTCGGCCCCGAGCCCGCTGGCCGGGCCGCGCCGCCTGCACAGCCCTTTGAGTGTGACGTCCCCTTGAGGCGGCGGTGTGTGCAAATGTCCTGGCGTGAAAGGTTTGCTCCGCCGTTCATTCAAAACATGGGTGTTCGGATGCCTAGGCCGCGGAGAGTGAAGTCGCTTCTGGTTCCTTGGCCTCTATTTTTAACCCCAGGACTGCTCCCCTTTGTTACTTGGATGCAATGACACGGGGCGGGGACATTTTGAATAATAATTCGTTTTGTGAAAAGGTCCAAAAATCCCAGAAAATCCTGACAGTTTCTCATTGGCTCTCCCTTCTATAAACCAGTTATTACTTCAACCTAAAAAGGCACAAAATTTCTTCTGACAGATTGCCTTGGTAAATCCATGCTGACTCACTCCTATTAACTTGTACTTCTGATGTATCATTAAGCTCATCCATAAGTCTCATCTCAGATTTATTTCCTAATATAGATGTTAGACTTACCGCGCTGTAATTTTCAGCCTCTCCTCTCTTCCTTTTTAACCTTGAGACTGGATCCCTTGTTTTCCAGTCTCCTGATACTCCCCCGCTAACAAAAGGCTTCCTAAAATAATGAACAATTCAACAATTGGATTCTTTAACCTCAGGCACCATCCATGGGCTAATTTCCTACCTTTCTAACGGCTGCTGAATGTCTGTGTTCCTTTCAAACCCCTGAGACTCACTGCGCGTCTGAGGGCCCGTGCTCAGTGTCAACAAGGCCAACGGGCGAGAGGACGTTTTGGTGACTGGCTTTTCTCTTGGCGTCTTTCTCGCGCGCATCCCTGCTGGAGTCCCAAGGTGACGCCTCTCCCCTCTCTTGCGTCCTGGGTGGTCCGTGGGTGAGAGGCATTGAAGTGGGAGTGGACCCGTGGCCGCGTCATGGGCGGCGTCCGCCCGCGCTGTTCACCGGTGAGTGTGGCGGACCCTCTGCCCTCATCACCTCTGCCTTTCATTGAAGGGTATCCTGGAATAGGGTTTTCACAGCCTAATTATACATTCTTAAGTACTTTTAAGTGTAATCTTCTTGCAAATAAGTGTATTCTAGCTTTTCTTCACTGTGTCTAAAAATGTCCGTCATCTGTTGGACATTGCGGAGCAGGGTTAAAGGGGGCATTTGCCTCTCTGCCCCTGGTCCACCCTCTGCCCCTGTGGGCACGGGGGTGCGGTTTCCTGTTTCAGGGTGCTAGGATGGCGTCTGTAGAACTCTGCACACTGTCCCGATTTGCCTTTTGAATGACAAAGAATGAAAGAGACAGGCTAAGAATAGTGTCCCCGCCTGACTTTTCGCTAGGCCATTAAAGCTTTGAAACGAACGTCTTGTGTGGGCAGTATTCCCAGTGTTACCCATGGTTTGAGAAAACAGGTCTTGAAGAGGTGAGCTTGCCCTCGGAGGACACGTGCCTGCGTTGAGGCCCCGGGCAGGCCACGCCTGTTTGTCTTCGAGAGTCTTGCAGCTTCGTGATCGTGCATAGGCTGCGGCTTCGGAACGAGTGCGGCAGGCCTGTGGTGGAAGCCTTAACGTCTTGGGTTTGGAGACTTCCTGTCGTCTGGAATCCTGCACTGGGGAGGAGCGTGGTGGCATGCGATTTAAAAAGCTCTAGGGTGAACAGTTTCACGGCGGCACCCCTGCTGCTAGCTCGGCCTGGCGGACAGGCGGACAGGCGGACAGACGGTCGGAGGCCGTCGCGGGGACGGGTGTGCGGCGTCCTGAGCTGCCGGCTGTTGAAAGGTGTGACTTGAAGCAAGGCACTCGGCCCCGCTGTGTCCGCCTTCTCGGCTGGGGAGCAGACCGCGCACCCAGCTTTCCCGCTGACCATGAGGTCCAGGGGGAGCAGTGCGCGTGGCACAGCTCCCAGGGTCACCCGCGTGGGGGCTTCCATTCCAAGAGAGGCCATGTGCCCTGGTGTTGCTGTTTCACCAGTGGGGGTGGGAGGAAAGGGCTGCAATGGTGTTGTGTCTGCTGGGAGTTGCCTTTAAGAGGAGAGACCCCCGTACCAGAGTCGTGCGCGCGTGCGGCAGTGACCCTCACGCCTGGGCTGCGTGTGCGGCGGGGGGTCACACAAGCGTTAGCATGACAGTCTGCACAGACACACACAGCCAGGGTTCAGAATGGCTGACCTGAAACCTCTTAGAGTGGGAACGTAGCACCTCATTTATTTGCAGTATTTCTATTCTTTGTATGTTACCTACTATGTATTTTTAAAACTAATTTAAAAACGATTCTGAAATAATGTCCTTCCTACTGTACAT